ATGATGCTTCTATGAATTGAAGTCCTCATATTGTTTTATTAAGATGTAGTATATCACAGAATCCAATACATTTTAATTTAATTGATGTATGTTATCTATTTCATTTGTAAATATCTTAGACTTTGTAAACATCGTGAATTCTATAGAAAAAACGTATGGTAAGTGCTTGTAATGAATGAATATTTCATATTAGAATGAGGAGGAAGGGGTTTGTGGAGATTTTTAGTAATTTATTAGTTGAATTCATGAGTCAATTGAAGCTAGACCATCATGGAGAACCTGAAAGCATTGGATGGTGTCCGTTTCCTCATAGTATGGGACTTATAAGTAATGTGCATCCAGGATTGCGCTGACGGGATTCGAACCCAGGAACGCCAGCCTCTCGAATAACCTATAGATCACTGGGCCGGCAAGCCCACAACTGCTCAGGTACGGCCCAGATTGCGGAGGGTCAGCCCTCCCTCTCGAAATACTCTCACAAGGCCACGTGCCCACAAGCACTTCCAGAGAAGTCCTACACACTGCATTCTCGTGGCATTATTCTTGTTTACAAGTCTGAGAGAACGAAACGCGAATGTCCGGCGCTTTAACCGGGCTGATGGATACGGAGGATTCACTTAGGAATGTTGGGAATCCCTGATTCCAAGCCAATGGTGCACATGATCTCCAGCATCGTGAAGTAACAGATGGCATGTGAACCAGTCGTTGGTCACCGGCTACCATGGGACTGCATCTCCTGAAGTCAAGGTCTCCGGGTGTGGCTCCCTGAGAAAACCACCTGTTCGATTTGAGCACCCGCGCAGTATCCTAGCCCTCACACAAATCGAATGATTTATGTGGCACATATCTATTTGGTGCCTGCTTGTACCAATGTTTATGTGTTTAAATAATAATAATAATAATACTCAACCGGCATCCAACTGTATCTAAATTCAACCAATTCTTGAAATTGTGCCATCGTTCACCATTGTCGTCAGTGAGTCGCCATTTCACAACTGACCCGGTTGAACTCCACTAGTCATTGATTCTCACTAGAACTCCATGAAATAGCTCTCGGAGACAGTCATTAGTAAGCAATGGTGGACGGTGGTTTAATTCCATGGACTGATTGAAGTTAAACAGTAACACTATTGAATATCAACTTAATGGTCAATAGGTTAAGTATTCGCGTATATGACTCAAAGGTCCTTGGTTCTGTTTCAGCTCTACATACAAGATCATGGATGTTGACTGCTAAGGAATTCCATAGTCTAGGATGAACACAACTATCCAATGCTTTCAGGTTTTCAATGATGATCTAGCTTCAATTGACACATTATGAAATGAAGCTTATCTTCATATTATGTAAATGTAATGCTTTAATTTTATTCAAATAGTTGTTGATTATTTCTATTTATAAACTATGTAGATATAAATCATCCGAAATCCCTTCAAATAATAAAATGTTATAACAATGAAAGAACAATTTATGAAAGTTAGTTTAAACATTCTGTTGTGTTTTATAGGAAATATTCAATTACCATGATGCTTTGATGTTAGTTGAAATGAAAGTGAACTGATTTATATTAGAAGGGAGGTTGTGTGGATATTATTCATAATTTCAATCTTACTTACTTACTTACACCTGTTACGAACAACGGAGCATAGGCCACCGACAAGCATTCTCCAACCCACACTGTCCTGCACCTTCCTTTCAAGTTCTATCCAATTGTTGTTCATTCTTCGCATATCTGTCTCAGCGTCGTGTGTTCTTTGGTCTTCCTCTTCTCCTTTGGCCTTGAGGATTACATGTGAGGGCTTGGCCTATGACGCATTTGAGTGCTTTCCTCAATGTGTGTTCTATCCGCTTCCAGCGCTTCTTACTGATTTCTTCCTCCACTGTAATCTGGTTTGTTCTCTCACACAGTAGGTTGTTGCTAATTGTGTCTGGTCAACGGAACCGAGGTATTTTGTGTAGACGACTGTTATTAAACACCTGTATCTTCTGAATGATTGCTTTCGTAGTTCTCCAAGTTTCCACCTCATACAGTAGAATTATCTTGACATTTGTATTGAGAGTTCTATATTTGGTGTTGGTTGACAGACATTTGCTTTGAGTTCCAGATGTTCTTCAATTGTAGATATGCTGCTGTTGCATCAGATCCTCTGTAATCATTAATGATGCTGGCCAGATATTTAAAGGTTATTATATCCTCCAAGGCTTCTCTGTCAGGTGTGATTCTATTGGTGCACGTCGCGTTGAATCGGAGAATCTTGCTTTTCATTTTGTGTATGATGATACCTAATATTACAGAGGCTGCTGCTACACAGGTATTCGTCTGTATTTGTTGTTGCGTTTGCTATAGAAGAGCCAGATCATCTGCGAAGTGGAGATCGTCCAACTGCATCCTAGATGCCCACTGTATCTCGTGCTTCTCCACAGATGTTGACAACTCGATGATCCAGCCGATCACCGGGAGAAAGAGAATGGGTGAGAGTGAGCACCCTTGTCTGACACCGGTCTTTACCTCGAACGAGTTTGTCAACTGTCCTCCATGCATGATTTTGCAGTTTAATCCATCATAGGAATTCTGTGTGATTCAGTTAAAGTTCGACCATCATGGAAAACATAGAAACATTGGATGGCTGTCCATTTCGTCATATTGTGGGATTTATGAGCAGTGCCCATGTACGATCTTGCGTCGCGAGAAGTTAACGCAGGATCTATTGGTTTTCCGAGCGAATGCTTAACCTCTAGACCATTGAGCTGTTCAGCATCCAACAGTATGAATGTCTAACTTCATCTAAACCATGAAAATTCAGTGACACATCCACCAACTGATTTCCCTTCGTTTTTTCTTCTGTTCACTATTAGATACATTTTATTTCGTATATGATTTGTTCATCCCGTTACATCAAAGATGATTGTTTTGCATCATGTAGACATTTTATTTATTTATTTGAATACATAAATATTGACACAAAAGCGGGCACCGAATACATATGCGTCACACAGTCATTTGATTTGTGTGTGGACTGTGATAGTCCCCGGGTTCTCAAACCGAAGCAGGTGCTTTTCTTAAGAGGTTAATACCTGGTCACCAATCATAGGTCCATACACTTTCCGTTCCCTCAGGATACTGGAGTCCATTTGCACACTTGGTTTGAAATCAGGGTTTTCCATTTTCCACAACGGACCCTCCATATCTACCAACCAAGTTAAAGCGCCGGACATTCGCATTTCGTCCTCTCAATTTCGTAAACTACAGTAATGCCGCGAGAAGGCAGTGAACAGGAATATCCTGCCAGTGTCTGTATACGCGTGACCATGTGAGAGCATTTTGAGAGGGAGAGCGGACACTCCTAACCCTCCGCCGTACCAGGGTATTTGGAACAGAAATATTATTCATAAAACATCTACGTGTATATTAACAAAAGTAAGATGTTTATTTTTGTAGTCGACAATGGTCAGCGATGTGTACTTCTAATGTTGTGGAAAATGATGTTCCTTGAGGGATTCAAATTTATGGCATCTAGTTTCATGGTGTAAGAATTTGTCATACTCCAAAATATTTCACTGGTATCATTTCAACACGTGAGTTTGAGTCACACAATTTCAAATCTCAAAGGGAATATTGGTTCCTTCAATGCCTTACAGATGCATTGTTTCCCCTAAAGAATAGGTCCATAGTTTACTGATGATAACTCCAGTGAAACACTTAACATATCAATAAATAGAAAACTCATTCTTAACAATTAAAATTATGTACCAGATCCATAGGGAATTAATAAAAGATATGAGATCGATTATTTTGTTGATTGAGATCATGAACCGATTGATGTTAGACCATCATTGAAAACCTGGAAGCACTGGTCGGCCGTTTTGTCCTATTGTGGAACTCTTCAAAGTATGTGTCGGATTTGGGATTCGAACTCACACCCACATCATGGATCAGAGCACTCTTGAGTCTGGAGTTTTCGACTGCTTGTCCATTCTGGGGTCTTACAATATGACAAAGCGGCCGTCCAGTGCTACCAGGTTTTCAATAGTGGTCTAATATCAATCGGTTCATGATCTCAATCAAAAACTTAATCATCTCCAAAATTCATTATTTCTATTATAATATACAGTTAGGTTTCAGGATAGAAACTTGTAAAACTTACCATTCAATTTTGTATTTAAACAGATATGAAAACTGAATACAACCAAGAAATATGTGGTAAACTTAAACAACTCAATCAAGGAGGTATATGTTTTGCTGCTAAGCTGCGTTCACTTTTTTTGAAATCATCATCCCATCTGATACTCGTCAACCGGATGTAACGGCATCCCAGAGTTGATCTTCATTCCGGGACTCGAACATAGTACTATTTGCTGCAAAGACCATCATGATATCCACTTATCTATTGAGTCTTGATAGTCACTTGTTTGTGTATTGGTCTGAAGTTTAAATTCACTTGGTGTTTTTTTACTTACATCTGCCCATTGATGTTAGGGACTGTAATTGATCAGTTTCTTGTTGGCATATATGCATCTTGTTTAGATTGCCTCGATATTGCCTTAAGTTTTTGATGGAGTTTTGCTCTCTGAGCTGGATGGTTTGGTCGTGGAGCTTTCATCGTTCTTCTGAACGATATCATCAGCAGCACAAACTTCAGATAGAAGTGAAGTGTTCAAATTTCTCCATATGTGTTTCACAGCTTGTTCTGTGCATCTCGACGTTGATTGGTTCTTATGGACCTTAAATTTATCATTGTTTATTTCTTCGTTTTGATTGTGTCTCCCATTGGTTTGATTTGTGTTCCTATATTTGTGCATGATTTTCCTGATTGGTTGATAAATTGGATTGATCTCAATATGGTTGTTGATTGCTGATTGGTCTGAGTGACAGGCTTCTAAAAATTCTCTGGTGTTTTTGGAGTTTCCTCTGTCTAAGATTTCCACATTTTTCCAATCGAATGAGTGTGGACACTCACAGAACGAGCTGTGAAACACATAAGGAGAAATTCGAACACTTCACTTCTATCTGAAGTTTGTGCTGCTGATGATGTCGTTCAGAAGAACGATGAAAGCTCCACGACCAAACCATCCAGCTCAGAGAACAGAACTCCATCAAAATCATCCACCTGAGCTACAAATCTTCTCCACCATCTGAATTGCCTTAAGTCACAAGCATTATAAACAAAGATGGATAGTGGCTAGTAGTGAAAATGTTTTATGATAACAATTGTTATCATATTTTATGACAGAATTAAAATAACTAGACACTAATCATGTTTAATTTTCATGAATACAGTACAGAAATGGATGGTTTGGTCGTGAAGCTTTCATCGTTCTTTTGAACGATAAGAACTATTCAACATTGAGGTCTACAGGATAAGCTATGAATCATATGGGAAGAAGTCTGAACATATCACTTCTATCTGAAGTTTGTGCTGATGATGGCATTCAGAAGATTGATGAAAGCTCCACGACGAAACCATCCTGTTCATGAGTATCATTTGATGTAATGTTGTAGGAGTGATTAAAGAGTTTCACTGGTATTTGCCCATTTTCTAACATGAACTACATGTTTACTTATTCAGATAAAAATGGATTATCGAACTGGTTGACACTTCAACGTATTCACATCAATTATCTCAATCTTGATTTATGTAAGTTAATCTAGTTTTATATTCAATAAGTTTGGTAACCATCTCCAACACCGGTCATCATTGCACGTTGTGGTAATCGGTGTTCAGACATACGTAACACGTGGCCCAACCATCTCAGCCGATTAAAATTCACAACCTCATCAACTGATTTACCATGATTCTCCAATACCCTAAGTCTAACCTCACTATTACTTACCCGGTGATCCCAGTTGTTGTGTTAATGAGGTATGGCAACTTGGACCAATGCATATATGTGCCTGGTCCTACGTTGTAGTTGACTGATTGACTGAAGTTTGTTAAGACTATAATTTATGAGCAAATCAGTCAGATTTACGATGAAAGGTCTTGGATATTGGCGCGAAATTCACTCATCCATTTGGTTAAATAGAGTTTTGGCATTTTAACTAATATCAGTTCATGATGAAAAACCCTTAAATCTAATTCCTAACCTCTAAGCATCGATTGTAAATCATAATTCTATTTCCTCATACAGGTTTATCAATCTCATTTAGCTCTGGTCAGTAGGTGGATATTCTTGAGACCACTTCAGCGTTGCTCAAAGGTCGTCCATAAATTATAGTCAAACCATCAGTTCTATTCTACAAGTAATTAATCATTGAGTATTGACTATTGTTATTTGCATGAAGTTCATCTCAAACTTGGTCAAGTTCTATCGAACAAGTAACAATGTGAATACTAGTTTAATGACTCGATAGCATGTTCACTATATTCATATATGAGGTGGTTAGCTGTAGTCAATTGGAAACTCTGATCCAAGACCATGTTAGCTGTTAATCTCCACATTGGTTTATAACCGTCATTTAGTTCTAGTTAGTAGGCGGATATTCAGAAAGTCACTTGAATGTTGCTCAAAGGTTGTCCATAAATTATAGTCTCGTCGCAATCGTAGATCTTCATGTAACACGTAAACATGAGATTTTCAGTTGATTTGATGTTATATTTTAAAATAACAAAACATTCACTTTAGTGTTTGTATTTTCATAGTGTCAGTCACGAACTGATCAATACCTAGACCTTTATTCAAAGTCTGAAAGTGACAAATAACGAATTCATTCCAGGATAGGACGCTTTACGAAATTGTATCCACTATCACGTCAGAAGGAGTCGAACATAAGAAGTTCGATCTTCTCGTCCGAACATTTCACCTCTAGACAATTGAACCGTCAGCCATTGATATTGATATTTATTCAACTTTATTACAATTTATACAGTCAGATTTTGTTTATTATTTTAGTTATATATCGGTTCCTGTCAGAACTTGCTAGTGTCGTAACCAGTTAGAATGAAATATGTAAGTGGAAGCTTGAATAGATTTGGCTGATTGTGAACAATTCATGTTATATTCATTTCATATGACAAAATTTTATAGAAAATATGGAGTGAGCTGAAGAAGAAATAATCAGACTAAATCTATCTATCTATCTATCTATCTATCTATCTATCTATCTATCTATCTATCTATCTATCTATCTATCTATCTATCTATCTATCTATCTATCTATCTATCAATCTATCTATCTATCTATCTCTACCTATCTATCTATCTATCTATCTATCTATCTATCTATCTATCTATCTATCTATCTATCTATCTATCTATCTACCTATCTATCTATCTATCTATCTATCTATCTATCTATCTATCTATCTATCTATCTATCTATCTATCTATCTATCTATCTATCTATCTATCTATCTATCTATCTATCTATCTATTATCTATCTATCTATCTATCTATCTATCTATCATCTATCTATCTATCTATCTATCTATCTATCTATCTATCTATCTATCTATCTATCTATCTATCTATCTATCTATCTATCTATCTATCTATCTATCTATCTATCTATCTATCTATCTTCTATCTATCTATCTATCTATCTATCTATCTATCTATCTATCTATCTATCTATCTATCTATCTATCTATCTATCTATCTATCTATCTATCTATCTCTCTATCTATCTATGTCTGTCAACCAACACCAAAAACAGAACTCTCAATACAAATATCAAGGCAATTCTACTGTATGGGTGGAAACATGGAAATCTACTAAAGCAATCATTCAGAAGATACAGGTGTTTAATAACAGTTGTTTACACAAAATACCTCGGTTCCGTTGACCAGATACAATTAGCAACAACCTACTGTGTGAGAGAACAAACCAGATTACAGTGGAGGAAGAAATCAGTAAGAAGCGCTGGAAGTGTAAAGGACACACATTGAGGAAAGCACTCAAATGCGTCATAGGCCAAGCCCTCACATGTAATCCTCAAGGCCAAAGGAGAAGAGGAAGACCAAAGAACACACGACGCTGAGACAGATATGCGAAGAATGAACAACAATTGGATACGACTAGAAAGGAATGCGCAGGACAGAGTGCGGGTTGGATAATGCTGGTCGGTTTCCTGTGCTCTGCTAGGAGTAAGAGCTACGTCATAATACATCATAAACCGGAGTTGTTGAAGCGCAGCACTTTAGCTGATGTCAATTTCTGATGAGAATCCAAAACGTTGTCACTATCCCTAATCATCAATTGTAAACGATAATCCACATCCTTCATACAAATTTAAGACTCTTATTTAACCCTAGTCAGTAGGTGAACATTCTGAAGGTCACTTTCACGTCACTCAAAGGTCGTTTATAAATTATAATCTCACCGAGTTTTGTAAATCTATACTGTAATACAATGATAATAATGATGAAATGAATGAGAACACAAATGGAGACTATTCGAACGTAGATGAACATAAATATTTATAGAAGATGTTAGTCAAATCTGTGAATCATCCACTGAATACTTCATTTGCAAAATCACACTCAATTGTCTCAAACTCTATTATTCTTTCATTTTCATACCAATTGATTCCTGTTCCCATTCTTTTCTCCTTGATCTTCTTCTGATAGCAGATGTTCTATTCCTAACTAAAGTTATATATACTACTTATATCGATATAAGTAGCACATATCACAATATTAACATCCCTGAAAAAAACAATTATTTATTTACTTATTTATTTTAACACATAGATGTTGGTACAAGGAGGCACCAGACACATATGCGCCACACAAATTTCATTTGATTTGTGCGAGGGCTGTGATATTGCCCGGGTGCCCAAACCGAAGCAAGTGATTTTCTTAGAGGGTCAAACCCGGATCGTTCAACCTGAAGGTCTGATCCACAAGGCAGTGGAGCATCGTAATTAGATGCATTCCCATGGTAGCCAGTGACCAACGATCGGTTTATACATTTATATTGACCAATTTATCTTTAAAACCGTATCATTCTATGATTCAATATGCACATATATCAGAAGGGGTTTTGTGGAGATTGTAGTAATTTCAACAGTTGAGATTATAAGACAATTGAAGCTAGACAACCACGGAAAATCTGGAAGCACTGGGCGACCGTTTTGTCCTATTGTGGGACTTGCTTCAAGAGATATATCCTGGAGTTCCAGTGAGAAGCAGTGACCAGTGGAGTTCAACTGTCTCAGTTGTGAGATAGTAACTCACTGATGACAATGGTGGATGTGTCGCTCCATTTCGTGGATTGCTTGATGTTAGACATTGACACGATTGGATGCCGAACAGCTCAGTGGTCTAGTTGGTTAAGCACCTGGCGCGAGTCCCGCGGGGCGCGATCGGGGGTTCGCACTGCCGCTGAGCAGTCCCATACTACGACGAAACGACCATCCAGTTCTTCCAAGTTCTCCATGATGGTCTAGCTTCAATTGACTTATGATCTTAACTGTTGTTCATATGATATATATGTTAATTATCCTACATTTACCCATTACAATTGTAGATTGAAGTTATGATGATGATGATGAGGATGATGGTGATAATGATGAACGAGTATTGTTTGTATAATTATGATTAACTTTTAATGAATGATTTCTAATGTATTAACAAATAACCAATTGTAATTTGTTCTGGTTTCTTATGTAACCAATCAATTCAATCAATAATGATTATTCTGTTCTTTTGCTTTTCAATTTTAATAAACCATGGAATCTCAATGGGAGTGAATAGGTGGATGGTTGAGTGAAGAGTGTGTGTGTGGGGGGGGAAATCAATATTTTACAATAGAATAAATGAGATTATTAGATAGAGATAATTTAGGACTTCCATCGATACTTTATAAACAAGGATGGATGATGATTAGTAGTGGAATTTAGGAAGAGTGTTTCACCCTACTTGCATTGCACAGTTAACGTTACCTTCAGGATTCCAACCCAGTACCATTCGCTTCAGATGCAATAATATTATCCACTCAGTTACTAAGTCCTAATAGCCACCTGCTTGTATAATGGAGCGAAGTTATATTCAATTGATATGGTTTACTTGTATCTTCCCATTGTTGTTTAGGACTGTAATTAATCAATCTGTTGTTGGTAAATGTGTATCCTGTTCAGATTGCCTCCATATTGTCTTCAGTTATAAGCTTTATCTCATCTAGACTGTTTCAGTATAAATTAATTGTATCTGTAATAATTTCAATGGTTAAGATCATGAGTCAGTTGAAGCTAGACCACCACGAGAAACCTGGAAGCAGTGGACGGCCGTTTCGTCCTATTGTGGGACTCTCCAGCAGTGCGCGAAACGTCGGAAGATATGAATATATAAAGGTCGGTATTTTCTTAATGATGTATAACGTGACTGATCTATATTTTATAAATGTCATTCGAAATAGAAAGACCAAAACAACTAGAGGACAACGAATATTAGAAGTTCACGTCTTATTCGCCGAAAATACGATATATCTATAATACTGATATATGTATATGTAGTAGTCGTAAGTGTAGTCGTACTATGGTGAGGTCTGTTTGACTGGTATATAGGCCAATTATGTTTGAAATAAATAATCCACATAGTGGAAGTTGTTATCAGTATTCTGGACTCAACTGGACGAACAAGGCAAACAAAGGACTAATAAGGACACTAGGCTATTCATACAAGTCGAACATCCATCGGCGAATAAATCACATAATAACTAGTCTAGATTAAAGTCACAGCAGTGACAAAGACTGATCATTCTTATTCATCGCAAATATTTTGACCAGTATATAAAACGATATTTTCATTGTTCATTATACAAGATAGATGAATTTCATTCAAATGACTTATAGTTAATTTCCCGATTGTGAAGATTCATTTCTACCGGTGGAGTTCAACCAGGTCTGTTGTGAGATAGGAAATCACTGAAGACAATGGTGTACGGTAGCTCAACTTTGTGTATTGGTCGGAGTTAGAAATTAACACCATTGGATGTCAGCTCAGTGGTCTAATTGGTTAAGCGCCTGACGCGAGACTGATGGATTCTGGGTTTGAATCTAGCGGAGTGGGATCGTGGATGAGCACCGCTGAGGAGCCCCAGAATAGGACGAAACGGCCGTCCAGTGCATCCAGGTTTTCCATAGTGGTCTAGCTTCAATTGACTCATGATTTCAACCAATGAAATTTCTAAAATCTCCACAAAACCCATTCCGATCATTTCTATATGTTCACATGAATTACTGAAAATTAATAAGTAGTATATATAATACACAGTTTGTTTTAAACTGATATTATACATAAAACCATCAGTTTAACACTAAATTATCTTATTGACTTTATTATTATAATTATCATCATCAAAAATATAAGATGACAGTTCTTATTCCATTTACATCATAATTCAACTCAACCATTGAAAACCTGTGAATATGATACGGCTGTTTCATTTTACTGAGGCACTCCTCACCAATAGTGATCTAAGACTTTCAATCACGTGTATGAATGGGTTCATAATCTCTATAAAATTCAATAATCTTCACAACTAACGTACTGATAATTCCCATTTACAAATTTATAACATAGATGAATCCAATGTTGGAAGATAACGACAGGTAGTGTCCATTGGTTGGATTGTATTAGGTTCCTATGTGGTTAGACTGTATACATAGGTAAACAGTCGTATAATTTCTTACTGTTTCTAGTATGATTATCAATTAAGATAACCTATATAGTTAGTAGGAGAAGTGACCATGTATATATCAATCGATATATCGATCGATGCCGTGGTATGGCCGAGAGTGGGGGGATCCGCTCTCCTTCTCGAGATGCTCTCAAATGGCCACGTGCATACAACCACTATCAGGAAAGTCCAACTCACTGCCTTCTCGTGGTGGGGGTGTTATTTACGAAATTGAGAGGATGAAAAATCAATGTCCGACACTTTAACTGGGTCGGTGGACACGGAGAGTCCAACTAGAAGAGTTTTAGTGGTCTGATT